GTGCATTGATGCAGCGGCTCCAGTGCATTGATGCAGCGGCTCCAGTGCATTGATGCAGCGGCTCCAGTGCATTGATGCAGTGGCTCCATTGCAGAGGTCTGCGCACTCCTTGCTGCACTTCACAGCACACACTGTGTTGCTAGCTTGTGTTTGGGATGAACCAGGTTGTGTGTGAGTGCGTGGCTGGGTCTGAAGTGCGCTGGGATGCCGTGCTTGGAGAAGACTCTCCTGATCTTCTCTGATACACCTGCTACATCAGGATTGTTTGTCCTGCTGAGGCTCCCTAGTTGGTGTCTGACCTTCTTTACTCTGCACCTGTGCTGACTGGATGAAGCCCAACTGGGATAACTACATGTTTTTTAAACTTGTGTGTTTTCTGTCCCTCCTGCCCGCAAACACACACCACTACCACGTTCTCTTACATTTTCAAAATCCAGTGAACAAATTAGAACGTGTCTCAGAATAGTGGAAATGTGGATGGTGAAGGGGGCAACAGGGGAGATGCTCTGAAACTTAAATATGGGTTATCCCAATGTAGCGACGACAGAATACATTATGATTTCCAAAAGACTGGAGCGGGCACATAAGATGAAACAGCTTAGTTGCCTTACACCGTTTTCCTGCTCCAGAGGCCAAAGCAGCACTAAGACTCATCTAGTTCGTCTGCTGACATGATGAAAGTGCTGAAATCCCAAATTCCCTTCGAATATTATGCACCAGCTGCAAAATCTGCCAAGCTGCTCAGAGACCCAACAAAGGGACTCAGATAACCCTGAAGTGTCTACAGATGACTCCTGAAACAGACACATGCTGCCTGTGTCCAGGCTGAGCACCACAAAAGCTCCTTAAAGGAACCTGTTGCGTGAGCGAATAAAGAACAGTAACGCCCTCTTAGATACCCGACGGTGACGAGCCTCCATTCAGCCTCTACAAGCTGCCTGATTGGCCGAGCAGCTACCTTTTCATGTAGAGAGCTAAGCTTTAGACTGCATTAGCCAGTGTTTGAGGCCATTCAGACGTTCATGTTGGAATAAAAGCCAAACAGGGAGCTCTGAGTTCTTGTTTCTAATGAGTGAGCCATGCAAAAGAAACCCAAACTAGCATTTTGTCTACTTCACAAACACAAAGCCATCACAGCTGGTAAGCAGATGTTGTGATGATAATATTCCTTTTGTTGTAGTTGTGACAGAGACAACAGCTGTGAATCGTAGTTTGATCAACTTGCCTAGCAGAACTTTTGCGTCCTCGACATCGAAATCTCCGTCGCCGTCTGTGTCGTACGCCACCAGTTTACCTACAGCGGCAGCAAACACAGTTAGACACACTTAGACAAATTCTCATACGTGTACATTAAACATGTGCTTACTGTAATTATTCTAACTGTATATCATGATATAGAAATGACTTTAAAGGCAAATGTATTAAAGTCAAACATGGGTGTAACAATGCTTCCTTTAGAGAAAGACAGTTTACCAACCACTGCTCCTACATGATGCCTGCGTTTATTAGATCATACATGAACACTGCAGCTGGAGACCAGTGTGACCACACCAGTCACACCAGCTGAATCACACTCAGGAACCAACGCTGCAAGGCTGTGCACTCCTCCACCGACCACAGCCAACTTGTTGCTTACATATGTGTCCTTAGTGACCAAGGGTTGGGGACGAGCCTCCAGCCTGTGTGGCAGCTTGGCTGCCTTCACTCCACCTTTCTCTACAGCTGCTGATTCCTGTGGGCTCTGAGTGCTACATGAAGCGTGTCACTGTACACAGAGGTGCCAGTTTAGGTCGACTATAAGGGCGTGTTGAACTGCATACGTAGTGTTTGTGGATGTGTGTAGTGCTGCAGATGTTCCTGCCAAACACTACACGACTCAGGGCTCTGCAAACAGTGTGTGTGACAACAGTCATTTTTGTTCACATATGCAGAATATACATTATGGGTTTTTACCTTGCAATGCTTCAGACAGGTTAATTTGTAAGCCCTTAGCCTTATCTGCATGCAAAACAAACAAATAATAAAACACACATAATGTAACAAAGACAGGGTTAAGAGATAAAACACAATCACATTTCATACACACAAGAATGGACCATTTATCATTAATGCAGGCGGCTGTGGTCAAAGACAGGCAGGCTGCAGCAGCTTCAGCCGTCCTCTACACGCGTGGCTCAGCAGGCAAAGTCTGCACCTAGCTTTAAGCTAACTTACAGAAATGCTGCTGTGTTAGATGCAACCATTACAAGCTTCATTTCATCTGACTGGCTTTAATGTGACTGGCAGGCTGTTCACCAAAGTATTTGGTTTAAAGTGTTGAGACAGCAGCAGACTGAGGCTCACTAGTAATAACTGCTGGTCTGAATTTAATGCTCCGGTAACGACAGTTAGACTGGTTCTTATTGCAGGTGGAGGTTTACTTTAGGCGTAGTCTGTGGACAGATGACAACAAAAGCCAAACTGGTTACTGCCACACCTTCCCAGGAAGTTCCTCTAGG